GTGGGCAGCACCCCCTGAGCCCAAGGCCGTGGGTGCGAGCGCTCGGCCGGCCAGCCCGTCGGTGCCGCTGGAGCTCAGACAATGAAACTTGAGCTCGTTGGACACGGTGCATTTCCAGCACGAAAGGCTCGGCCAGGGAAAGGAGCTGACGTGCAGGGCCTGGCACAGCCCGGTGCCAGCTTTCCATGCCGAGGGGATAAAGTGCTAGACCGAACGGGGAACAAAGCGGGGGGAGTGGGGGAGTCTGAATCACGCCGTCACGGAGAGAGCCAGCGAGGCAGGCAGGGGGCCGGAGCGCGTTACTGTGGAACGATGCCTGTTAGGCCTCCCATTGGTGGCCTTGTTTTATCCCGGGTGCGAATGGGACAGACGCATCGCTCCAGGCACCCGCCCTGGCATGGATGGGCACGGTCCTGGGTCCTCCGAAAGCCGCCCGTGGCTGGGAAGGTGGGTGATTTGCCACCTCCTGCCTCGTTAGTGCAGCCCAGCTGGAAGATCTCATGGCCCTTTGGGCCTCACTTTTCCGAGGTGGCCACTGATTTGGGGAAACTTGGGGGTTTCTAACACCGCCAGCTCTCCAGAATGTGGGAGCCTGGCGGGAGAGCTTTGGGCTGCACGTCTTTTTGCCTAGGAGTCGGTCCCTATCTGGGACTTGAACCCATGAACTCTGGTTCTGGAAGCAGCTCCTGCATGAGCTGAAGGAGGAGCAGCGCTCGGCGTTAGCAGCAGTAGCACCGCTCTCCCCTTCGCAGGACTCCAGCCTAGGGCCAGACCAGGCCATGCATCTGCCAACAAGCCTTCCCGCCGAACTCGTCCAGCGGAGCCCGCATGGCCTGCGCCGACCGTGCCAGCGGGCACAGGGGAAGCCACATCCCATTCAGTGCAGGGTGGCAGCAGGCGTAACTCCACTACGGTCAGCGGGGTTACCTCGGCAAGGGGGAAATGCTCGTCGCGGGAGCACCCCGAGATCGGGCCCATCCGGATTCGGACCAGGGATGCAGGGACAGGACGTGCTGGCATTAAACCCTTTTCCCAGCGGGGACCAGCCTCCCTTCGAGCTCCGGCCCTGCTGTTCTTGCCCCTAGCTGGGGCTGGCAGGTCTGGGCCCACCGAGACGCCTTGGGCGAGGGTTATGCCATGAGACAGGGGCCCCGGAGCGGACCCCTCTTTGGCTCCCTGGCCATCTTGCTGGATGCACCCAGAGGAAGGTGCAGCTGTCTCCTTGGCCTGCTGCCGGCTCGGGCCTAGCGGGTATAAATAGAAGTGGGGGGCCAGGGAGGGGAGGAGTTTGTTGTGGTTACCATCCCGGGGAGTGACAGATCTCTTGGGGAAACGCCAGCCGGAGACTGTCACAGAGCTCTGGGGCCCAGCCGGCCTGTGGGGAAGGGGTCCTGGGGATGCACAGAGCCTGTCAGATGGTGCCGGGCCACGGGCCCCAGCCTCCGTTAGCAAAGAGAGCCGCTGGTCTGTAGCTGCGGACACATCACCTGGCCCATGAGGCCTCTGGAGCGGGGTGGGTGGGTGTTGCTGGCAGAGGGGAGGGAGCCGCGCGCGGGATGTCAGCGCTGATGCGGGATATCGCACAGGTGACCCCAGCAAATGCTCTGGGGCCTCATGCATGGGATGTTCTCCGTCCCTAGAGGGCAGGAGGGAGGGGCAGGGTGCATGGGAGGACAGGGGGTGGGGTCACTGGGACAGCCCCTGTTCGGGGGCCAGTTGAATGCGTGCAGCTCGGTTGTCATCAGCCAGCCAATGATAATAAAGCCATGAGTGCAGCCCCGCATGCGTCCTAGGAGACCCTACACTAACAAACCAAGGTACACGGCCTAGCACACCTGAGCAACTCCTCTCGAATCAAACCAGCACTGGTGCGCACCCCTCCAATAATAAACCACTCGTCAGGCGCCACCCTACCGTAACCAACCAGGCTGTAAAGCACTGACTTTATCTGTTGTCACACTACAATCAACGCTGAAAAGCTGCTGACCGCCCGGTGGAGAGGTGTGGGGGTGGAGGTACCCGGGGCTGTATGGGGAGCCGGAGGAGGGGTGCAGATTGGGGGAGAAGACTTTTTAAGCCCGGTGTTAGAGCTAACTGCTGCCCCCCCACCCAATGGCCGCACATCGGTTGCCTCGGGTGGGAAGGGGCAGGTTACGCTGAACTGCTGGGCTGATGTGCGAACCCATTTGTATCCTACATTCCCGGGAGCGAGGCCAACTTTTACATAACGGATGGAAACTTTGATTCAGCCCATTTGGAAAAGGGCTCGGGAGCAAAAGCGTTTTGGAGTCCCGGTGGGAGGGAGCGAACTGGGCACAGAAAAGGAGCCGGGAACTCGCCCAGAAGGGGCCTGTCAGTGGGCCAGTTCGGAGCAGGGCTGGGGGCCAAAGCTGGCTGCTGCCTATGGAACCGTCTCTTTGGGCTGCAGCCGGGATTGCTGGGGAGGTGCCCCGGAGCTGGGCGGCGGGGTCGTTCTGGAGAGGCAGGCTGGGCAGCCGCTGGGCACCATGGCGGGCAGCTTGGGAAAATCCAGTGGTGAGGAGCGGCACTAGAAAGATTTACATGCAAACAAACTCACTGGAGCCAAGCTCCCCGCAGGGGCCACAACAAAAACTGGGCAAGAGGGAAGAAGACATTTCCTGCATCCCTCTGTGGCTGCTGCCATCCCGGTGAATTTCCCCCCAAGCCAATGGCTGGAAGAACAAAGAGGAGGGTGGCCTCAGGGTTACGGGGAGGAAGAAAGGCCCAGTGCCCAGGGCACTAGCCTGGCACTCACTGGTGTATCAGTTCCCAGCTCTGCCCTATTGCTTCGTCGGCTGCTGCAGTTACAATGGGGATATGGGCACCGAGCCGCCGTCTGGGATAAATAACGATTGTGAGTTGTGTGGCTACTGTGGTGCTTGGGGGACAGAGACACACCCAGCCAGACGGGCCGACACGCCCTGGCTACATAAGAACATAAGAATGGCCGTACTGGGCAGACCAAAGGTCCATCTAGCCCAGTATCCTGTCTACCGACAGTGGCCAATGCCAGGTGCCCCAGAGGGAGTGAACCTAACAGGCAATGATCAAGTGATCTCTCTCCTGCCATCCATCTCCACCCTCTGACAGACAGAGGCTAGGGACACCCTTCCTTACCCATCCTGGCTAACAGCCATTAATGGACTTAACCTCCATGAATTTATCCAGTTCTCTTTTAAACACTGTTATTGTCCTAGCCTTCACAACCTCCTCAGGCAAGGAGTTCCACAGGTTGACTGCACTGCATGAAGAACTTCCTTTTATTTGCTTAAAATCTGCTGCCCATTATTTTCATTTGGTGGCCCCTAGTTCTTGTATTATGGGAACAAGTAAATAACTTTTCCTTATTTACTTTCTCTACATCACTCATGATTTTATAGACCTCTATCATATCTCCCCTTACTCTCCTCTTTTCCAAACTGAAAAGTCCTAGCCTCTTTAATCTCTCCTCATAAGGGACCCATTCCAACCCCCTAATCATTTTTAGTTGCCCTTCTCTGAACCTTTTCTATTGCCAGTATATCTTTTTTGAGATGAGGAGACCACATCTGTACGCAGTATTCCAGATGTGGGCGTCCCATGGATTTATATACGGGCAATAAGATACTCTCCGTCTTATTCTCTAAGTGCCATAGAGAGCTGTGGCCCTGCACGGTAACTCAAGAGACCTCAGTTCTAGTCCCAGCTCTGCTGCTGTTTCACTGTATGGCCTTGGGTGTGTCCTTAATCTCGTTGTGCCTCAGTTCCCCCGTCTATGAAATGGGGAGAAGGATCCTGGCTTTCTCCCGCCTCTTTGTCTGTTTAGACTCTTCAGCCTTCGTCTGTCCGCACCTGGCCCGAATTTAACGCAGATCAGTGAGACTAGTCAGAAAGGTGAGGAGGAAATACCTGAAGTGCCATGCAAAGCAACCAAGGTTTCTGAATGTATTAAGCGGCTGGGTGACATTTAGGCAAGAAACGGTGGTTTGGTGGAACTGGGCAAATCCCTCGTTTTGGCTGGTGAATGAGGAGCCAGCCCAGCTCTGCTCTAGTGTCTGTAGGCGGCCGGGAGAGCAGCTCACGTTGCCGGCTTCTCTTTCCCCGTTAATGCGTGGTACCAGGGCTTGGTTTAGCGGGCTGGGCCTTCCCCCACGGGGGAAGAGGGATCGCCAGCCACAGCCCCATGTAACGATCCGAGTCAAAATCTCATGTTATTCTGTCCTGCTTTGACACTGCGTGTGTGACCCGGGTGGAGGCGCGCCAGGCTGTCCAGAGCAACCTGCCTGGCTGGCCGCGTCTCACCCACCAACAGGAGGTGGGAAGGTTGGTCCAGCCAGGCGCTGGCTTAAAGTGACCCCTGTACGTCAGTGCTTGGCTGGATTCCCGGGACTCGTCCAGCCTGGGGCTCTGCTAGGCCGGCCCAGCTGGGGCACTTCCCAGTCCAGGGGTGGGGTTTTTGATGGGGGCGTCCATCGAGTGGGAACTAGCTGTGGGACCAACATGCGAATGGGGGTGTCTGTAGCAAAGGCGTCGCTTGGAGCTGGCCTGAGACTTCATTTCACACGGGTCACCACTAGCTCCCAGTGCACAGCCGCAGACAGGAGCAAGCGCCACCAAGTCAGGCCTGGCCCGGGCTTCCCTGACGGTTACATGGCTCCAGCAGCACAGGACTGTCTGCACAGCTGGTGCATTCTGGGAGAAGCTGAACAGCGGCCCTGTGCTAGCTATCTAAACGCCCGGGGACCCCGTGCAAAGCATATCCAGTGCACGTCAGAGCCACGTGCGGAGTCAATCCTGTAACAAATTCCCTGCGGCTTTGCACCATGGCCATCTGCAGCTGACCCGACACCTCTGTGCGGTGGAGGGGGCAGGGAGGTGCAGAGAGGGGGAGCAGGCCAGGGCTGCGCTGGGTCCAGTTCCTGGATATCGCTCTGCAAGGCTCCTGCCCCAGCCCGCCCGAAACGCTGCTCCCCTCTCTCCCTGACCTTCCGATTTTACAGATAAGGAGGAGATCGACCACCCCAACAACAGCTTCAGCCCATGTAGCATCCAGGACCGGAAATGTCTCCTGAAGCAGCAGGCAAAAACCCGCGACCGGGTGAACAGTGGCGTGAAGATGAGGAGCAACGGGAACTCGCATCATCGGGAGGAGACGAGGCAGATAGTGAGATGCCCCTTCCACTCCCTGCAGGGGGGCTGCTGCTGCACGGGCCTGGGATCAACTCCCTTCCCCCCTAATGCCCGGGCGCCTCTCAGTGCCCAGCGAGTGACTGGTGTTTGGGGCTGCAGAGTAGGCCCCAGCGGGCGGGTCTGTCGTGCAAGCAGCCGGCCTGGGGTAGCTTTGGTTTGTCAGGGGTGCACCGTCCTGTTAACCACTGTCCTCGCTCTTCACCGCTCCTTGCGCCCCAGACAAGGAAATTCCCCACTGGGGGCGGGTGGTGCAGGCCCCCCAACACCGACACCGACGAAGGGGAAATGAGCAACGGCCCCTATGGTCCCCAGGCGTTGCAGGGGCTACAGCAGGGAGTGGGGCTCTCCAAACACCCAGGGGGTATTGTACCCTCACGCCGAGGGGGGGGACGTTTGCAGCCATCCCCTCCCCCAGGGAACCCTTGGGAGGAAGCTCCAGGTGCCAGGTATTATTAGTGGCTGCCACGTGGCGGGTATCTGGCAATGGATGGGAGAGGGGGACTCCAGCCTGTCTAGGTGGAAGGAGGGAGGGAGTCTTCTTCCTCCCCCGAGCTGGGCTCCGATCAATGCTTTCTGTGCAGGCCCAGGGGTCGTGCCAGAGCGAGCTGCATCGAGCACTGGAGAGGCTGGCCGCATCCCAGACCCGCACCCACGAGGACTTGTACATCATCCCCATCCCGAACTGCGATCGCAACGGCAACTTCCACCCCAAACAGGTACGGCCTGCGCCCCCATTGCCAGCAGGCGCCCCAGCCTGGGGGTCGGGAACAAGGACAGCCGGAGCGGGGCACACACCCGTTGTACAGCTAAGGCTGTGGCTGACCCACAGGCGTGGGAATCTGGACTCCTGGGTTCTAGCCCAACTGGGTGACCAAGGACCACGTAAAAGCCCCTAATTTGGGGTGTTCAGCACCCACAGCTCATTGATTTTGGCCCTTCTGAAAGCCAGGCCCCAGGGGCCTCAAGTCGGGCCCCCAAACTTAGTGGGGACAACCGCTGAAAATGTAGCCTTCGCCTCCACGTGTCCCGGTCTTCCCGGCGGCAAAGGGGACCCTAGTGCCTGCTCCCCTCCCTCGCAGGGGGCTTGCCAGGCTAGGAATTAATCATCCCCAGAGGGGAGGGGTGAAGGCTGGGCAAAGAACCACTAGGAGCACCCTCATGGTGGGAGGCGTTTGACCCGCCTGGGCCAGTTCACCCATTCGCCACTAACCGGAACGGACACCTCCTCCGTTCAGCATCGCTTCGGCCACAGGCCTGCCGAGGCTCTGCCCAGCACTTCACCCTCCTGGAAACCAATGGGACCTATGGGCCCGGGCGCTGTGCTGTCTGTCGGGTTCCTGGGGAGCCTGCTGAAATCAGTGGACGCTGTACTGGGCCCATCATGTTTAGAAGTAGAGAAGTAGAGCTGGACTCAGCTCCCCATGCTCACAGGGCAGGGTCGGATGTGCCTCTCTGCCAGCCCAGGGCCGGACGTGCCCCCCTGCCGGTGCAGCAGGGACTAACCAGAGCCTCCTGTCCCATGCGCAGTGTCACCCGGCCCTGGACGGGCAGCGTGGGAAGTGTTGGTGCGTGGACCGGAAAACTGGCCTTAAGCTGTCGGGAAGCCCGGAGCTGAAGGGCGACTTGGATTGCCACCAGTCTGTGGACGGCGTGCGAGAGTGACTCGGCGGTAAACGGGGGACAGGGAGATTTCCTTGGCGACCGGCCGGGGCCGAGCCAACCCATTGGTGCTGTTTCTGAGTGGAAAGGAAGGGGACACGACCACAAACAAACCTCGCTGGGTTCGGGGGATGCCAAGATGTGCTAATGCCCTCGCGGAACTGCTGTCGCGCCCCCTGTACCTCAGAGCCGCTCTGCCCTGCACCCCCTGCCCACGCGCCCCTTGATTCCGACATTGCAATTCTACCCTGGGCTCTGTGCACGGACGGGGGCGCGCCCTGGCTGACAGGGGGGTGGGGTTGGGCCTCCAGGCCAACATGACCACTAGCAACGAGTAACTCTAGGGACGTCACACTCAGGGGTACGTTACCCCCCAGCCTCTCCGGCCCCGGCCCCCGGACAGCCTCCCGGTGTGACCCCCTCCCCCAACTTCCCACTTTGCTCTCGCTCGCCCCGGCCAGCGGGGGCGCCGTGGAGCTGCGGCTTTGCCAGCCCTAGCGCTGTCTCCGGGGCAGGCGCGGGGATGCGCTGCAGCGGCCGGAGGGAAGGAGGGGCTCTTTGGAGATCATTTTGCCACAGTCCGATGACAGAGAGCAACAGACACAGGCCCCCAGAGTCGCCTCAGTGCTGCCGCCGAGTATTTGCCTTATATTAGACGCCTAGTCATGGCCCTGCTCACGGTGGCTGCAGGACTGTTGGAGTCGCAGCCCTGCCCCCCACTGCCCCCATTTTTTCAGTGTGGTTTCACCAGAAGGTGTGCTAGGATTTCCCTGCATTCCCATGCCCTTTCTCCTGTGCCTGCCGGATTAAGGCGTGGGGACTACAGGCTTGTCTCTAGGGCCCCAGCACTGGGAGCCATGTCATTGCATCCGAATCTCCGCTTTCATTTGCCAAAAGAAGAAGTAAGTTGCTAGCCCTCGTGATGGCAGAGAAACGCGCAATGATATGACCCAAGTGCTACTTACGGATGCAGTGAGAAGTTCCTGAGTCTTCAGAGAGCCTGAAACAAGAGCTCGGAGAGGGGGGCCTGCTCTGCTCATTTCAATGGGGTGTTAACTCCAGGCCCTGCCAACCCCACCCCAGCAGAGGACTCTGTATGGGAGGAAGAGAAGCGTGCAGTGGTCTGGTTCCCCCAAACAGATACACCCCGGCAGGTCAGGTAAGTACCGGGGGGAGGTGGGGGGAAGGGGGGAGGCTTACTACCACGCCTGCCTGTCAAGAGGAGCACTAATGGGCCGCTCACCAGACAGTTCATGGGTGGGTGATTGGAGGGGCGAGCCAGGGGAGGCCCTTGTTGTTATGTGCCTGGGATCCTAGATTGCATTGATGTGGCCTGTTGACACACAGGGCAGCATGTATCCGTGTCAGTGACGTATGTGTGGGTAGGAGCGTACGGGGTGGGTGACAGGAGACGTCTGAGAAGGTCTCAGGGAGGCAGGTAGCAATGGACATAAGATCCCTCTCCAGTGTTTCCTGGCTCGTCGCTCGCGCTTACCGTGAGCCCCACAAGCTCTGCCTCTCACGGTCCCTGCAGTCCCGCAATTCGGGGAGAACTCTGGCGTGCCTTTAACAAGTGGGACATTTCTCGCCCCGCTGGCTGCAGGGAACAGCCTGAACGCGTGACCCAGGGGCACCCGAAAGGCTGCAAACCCAGAAGACAAATAAAACGCGACCCAAACTGATCGCTTTTAGATCTCCCTTTTTTTAAGCCAGCCTCGCGGTGTTTTGAGGCCGGCTGCCTGGTTTTGGGCTGCGTGGAGCTGGCCCCACCACATGCAGCGAGGCCCCCGTGCTCAGCCTCACGGCGGTGCCATTGCAGGCAGCCAGGAGAACGTACGGGGTGGGGGGAGTCGCAGGGTTGTTTCTCAGCACGGCCCAGGAACGCGGTAGCCCCCCCACAACGGGACCTTCCTTCTTCTTCAGAGCGAAGGCAAAGTTTCCTCTGCAAAGCCCTGGTCTGCGGGAGCAGCTGGACAGCGGGTGATGGGGATCAGCCGCCCCGGAGCTCTCCCGCCCCCTCTAACGGCCAGGCGGACGCGTGTGGTGTCTAGGGTTGCCAATTTTCTAGTCGCACAAAATTGAACACCCTAGCCCCGCCCCTTCCCCATAGGCCTCACCCCTTCCCTGAGGCCCCACCCCTGCTCACTACATTCCCCCTCCCTCGGTGGCTTGCTCTCCCTCACTCTCACTGACTTTCACTGGGCTGGGGCAGGAGGTTGGGGTGTTGGAGGGGGTGAGGGCTCTAAATGGGGGTGCGGGCTCCGGGGTGGGTCCAGAAATGAGGGGTTCAGGGTGTGGGAGGGAGCTCTGGGCTGGGGCAGGGAGTTGGGGTGTGGGAGGGGGTGCGGGCTCTGGGGTAGGGCCAGGGATGAGGGGTTTGGGGAGCAGGAGGGGGCTCCGGGTTTGGGGGGGATTAGGGCTGGGGCAGGGGGTTGGGGCGCAGGCTTATCTTGGGCTGCTCCCGGTCAGTGGCACAGCAGGGGGGCTAAGGCAGGCTGCCTGCCTGTCCTGGCACCGCGCTGCATCCCGAAAGCAGCCAGCAGGTCCGGCTCCTAGGCGTGGGGGCCAGGAGGCTCCATGCGCCACTCTCGCCTGCAGGCACCGCCTGCCCAGCTCCCATTGGCCGGGAACTGGCCAATGGGAGTGCGGAGCTGGTGCTCGGGGCGGGGGCAGCGCGCAGAGCTCTGTGGCCCCCCTGCCTAGGAGCTGGGCCTGCTGCTGGCCGTTTCCGGGGCGCAGCGCGGCAGGACAGGTAGGGACCAGCCTGCCTTAGCCGGGCAACACCACCAATGGGACTTCTAATGGCCCGAGCTGCCAGGGTCCCTTGTCAACCAGGTGTTCCTGTCGAAAACCGGACACCTGGTCGCCCTGGGTGTCGCTACAGAATCGCTGTGGCGCTGGCCAGGAGCCCCAGTCATACTGTCACAAGAAGGCCCCGTTTCCATGACATGCGGCTCCTTGGCCGGTAACCGTGACGTCTCCACCAGGGCTGCAGACGTGCGGGCTAGTAAAGCTACTTGCGGGAATGTGGGGCTGGAAGGGGCCTCGAGAGGTCACGTAGCCCCCGCCCCCCCGAGCCTAGACCATCCCTCCCAGGCATTTGTCCAACCTGCTCTTACAAGCCTCGGCAGACGGTCACCGGGGCACGTGCTGAAATCCCCCGAGAGCTAGGAAGTAGCTCGGGATACTTTCCCACAAGGCAACGGCTGCCTGAGCTCCCGTGGCAAGAACTCGTCCGAGCCCAGACTCGGCAGCCGGAGAGTCGGGCCCTGGCAGCGTCCCCCAGTCCCGATCCCCACACGCCCACCCCCAGCCCCCTCCCACCTGAGCTGAGCGTCCCCCACTCCACTCCCCTCTCAGGAAGAGCCGGAAAGCAGGAGCAGCAACCGATTTGTCTTGCGGGGGGAGTGATCGTTTTTCTTAGTCTCTAGATTTCCCTCTTGCTCTTTCCGCCATTTAAGCCAGACACAGCAGCCGGCCAAGGCCAGTCGCTGCTGTTCCCGCGGCCGGCTCAGAGGGCGAGTGAAGAATGAGCAGAAATGGCCCCCACTGAAGCCAAGGTTTGCGGCCTCCGTGTAGCTTTTTGCCTCAGACCCTCAGTGGGCGGAAACTGGCCTCCCGGGCACGGGGCTCTGCTCTCGGCCAGCTGTGGCCGTGTGAGCGTCTCCAGCACACAGAGCTCGTTAGGAAGAGCAGACGAGGACTGAGGGCGAGACCGGGGCCTTGCGAGCGCCCGGCGACCAGGGCTCTACTGGCGTGTGAGTCAGGTGGTGAGTTCTGGCCGGCAGGCTCGGCTGGGTGTACCTAGGCGGGCAGAGGGGGCATTTGGAGACAGGCTCTCCCTGTCCGGAGAATCATGCACGGGGCCTGAAACGCTGACTTGCTCTCCCTGCCTTTGGAGATCTCTGCCAAGGACTGGCGATGGGGAGCATGTGAGCAGGCCCCACGCCCTGCTGGAGGCCTGGGGTTTCAAGGCACTTCCCTGTGGAAGCCAGGGGCAGATAAGATAGATTTGGGAGCAGCTCGTTGTTAATGGGCAGCCGGTGGGGTCCAGGCCTGGTTTGTTTTCCACACAAGAGGCTGCGGGACGCAGAAGCCCAACCAAGGTCCCTGACAGCTTGCTCACCCCCTTCCCCCTGGGCTCCAGCACCCAGCGCCCCTCGCCAGGGACAGCAGCTTACTGGAGCGAGTGCTGGAGGAGCGTGAAGGCAGCCGCTCTTAGTGGGATCCCAGTTCGGAGACAGCCATGGAAACCCGACTGGGGCGGCGTAAAAGGATGGAGCCATTTCTCCGACCCATTGCAGGGAGGCAGAGCCCCCGGGAGGAACCTCCCGGACGGGTGTGCGTCTGCCCCATGCCTAGTACCCGCTAGATATTAGTCCCATAAACGCCTGTGGCCCCCCGCAGCTGCACTGGATTCATCTACCCAGATGCTGTGGCTGTGTGGAGCTCCGTGGCTTGAGGTGTAGCTGCATTCGCAGCCTTGTGGATACTCTCACAGCTTCTCCTCTTCCTCAAGGGCTGCTTGGGTCCAGCTCTCTGGGCTCTTACATTGGTGTCCCTCATTGTGGTATCTGCAGTGGCCACCCCACCAGACGTAAAGCCAACAGTACCAGAAATGTGTCATTGACATGGGTTTCCAACCACAAATGTCCTTTGGGGCTAAATGTAAATGGTTCAAAAGTGGGCGGATTTCAGCTAAATTTCATTCCAAAGCATTTGGATCACGTCAAAATGCCCCATTCTGACAGATTCCAAACGGACCGCTTCGACTTTTTGGTTTTTAATTCCAAAATGACTTTTCCAAAGGAAATTCCGGGGGGATTCTATTGGAAAACGAGCTGAAATGGGCAAAAGCAGAACAAACTGTTTCAAATGTATCAGAACAAAACATTGCGATCAACTCAGAATTAACATTTTGCTGCAGGGGACGTTTAATTTTTGGCTGGTTCTGCTGCAGAACAGCAAAAATGCCAGAGTCATGGAATGTCCCATGAAATGGAAAATCCAGGCCTTGCCCAGCTCTGAATAACAGTGAGATATTTCTTCCTTGCCTGCTAGCGAGACGGGATCTAGGTTTTTAAAAGGTGAGGATTATCTGTAGGAAAGCGCAGGTGCTGCTGTGAACGGGGAACTATTCCAGGATTGGGGGGGGAGAGGGCACGGGGTTTAGCTGTGAGTGTGATGAGGTGCGGTATCTTATCTCCTGTGGCAGTGAGTTCCGGAGTCAACGCGCCAGCTCAGGTCCTGGCTTAGAGCGTCCAGCTCTTCGCTGGAAGTTTCATTGTTCCCATGGAATACAGCAGTGGGTCTCAAACGTTTGTACGGGCGCCCCCTTTCACATCGCAAGCCTCTGGGTGCGACCCCCCTTATACATTAAAAACACTTTTTTATATATTTAACACCATTATAAATGCTGGAGGCAAAGCAGGGTTTAGGGTGGAGGCTGACAGCTTGCGACCCCCCAAGTAATAACCTTGCAACCCCCTGAGGGGTCCCGCCCCCCATTTTGAGAACCCCTGGAATACAGCTACCATGGAAGTTCAGGGTCGGGGGGTGGGGGGGGAGGATCTCTCAGGTAGCCAGGACCAATCCCATGGAGAGTTTGGACTATCAGGCAAGGACCTTGAACTGGGCTGTGTATTTCAGTTTGTTGTTTGGCTTTCCCCTGTTTGTGTAACAATGACTTGCAGTGTAAACAGCGCGCGCACACACACACACACACACACACACACGACCCCTCCCCATTGCACCCCCCCCACTGCACACACCCTTCAGGTGGTGGGGTTTGAATTTGGTCAGCTTCCAGGGTGGGGCAAAGAAGCATTTAAAAAGAGCTCTCAGGAGGCAGAACAAGCCAAACCCCAGGGCCTGACCCACCCCCGCCTCCCTCATTGTGGAGTCATTGACAGGCGTGTGAAATGTTCCCCAAAGCGGGCACGTTTCACACGGGTTATAGATGAGGTGCAGTGTGGGGGTGGGGGGGTATCAGACCCAGAGTTTATTATTCTGTTTCTTTGTCAGCTCTCACCTGTCCACCCACCCACCTTCACATAAGGATTAGCTCAGCCTTGGGGGGGGGTTGTTTTCCCACCCTAGCCCTGGGGCAAGAGGCCGCCTTTGCACCAGAGGAAGGAGAGGGCTGCCGGGGCGGGGCGTTAAGAGGGCTCCTCAGGTGGCCGGAAGAGGAATGTGTGTGTAGGTGTGTATTTGTGACTGGAGCTGGGCTGGCTAAGTGTGTGTTATTGTGTATGTGGGGGGCGGGTCATTAGGTAAACATCGCCCCCCCCCCCCCCCTTCGGAGCGGAATGAGTCTCTCCCTTCAGCCAGCCTATGGCTTTCCCCCATCGCCCCCTTCAGGCTGCACCTGATTCCAAACACAATGCAAACCTTCATTCCCGGCCCGTCCACCTAGCGCCAGAAATCAGGGGCGAGTTCAGGCCAGGAGTCATCACTTGCTTATTTCACTTGTTGGCTCTGGTCCGAAAAGTGATGCAGGAAGGGCCCTGCCACCTGCAGGCAGCGTTTCTGAGCTCGGGCTGCTGCCCTTACTGGCCCCCCTAGGCTTCTACTCCTGCAGCATCCAGGCGACCCTGGGAAAGCGTCTGTTGTGCCTGGTTCATTGGCATGGGAGCCCTGACTGCTGGTGGCCCAGAAGAGGCTGGACTTGCAGAGCCTGCAG